GCACGCCCCTCACACGTTTCGTGGCCCCATGGGGAGCTCCACCGATGGCCCCACTGGCTGCGCACGCATGGCACCTCCGCACCCATGTCAGCACGCCGTTCACACGTTGTGTGGCCCCATGGGGAGCTCCACCGAGAGCCCCAGTGGCTGCCATCGCACGGCACCTCCGCACCAATTTCGGCACACGGCGCACACGCTTCGTGGTCCCACAGGGAGCTCCACCGAAGGTCCCAGTGGCTGCGTTCGCATGACACCACCGCACTCATTTCCGCACACCCCTCACACGTTTCGCGGTTGCACAGGGAGCTCCACCGAAAGCCCCAGTGGCTGCGCTCGCATGACACCACCGCGCCCATGTTGGCACACCCCTCACACGTTTGGTGCCCCATAAGGAGCTCCACCGCAGACGACACCAACAATTGCGTTAGTCACAACTGCGTATGGTTGGGTCCTTCTCTTGGATTATTTCGGGGGGTCTGATTGGAGCTGTCTGGAAGGGTCCTCATGGAGCCTGGGGGGGGTCTAAAACTGCTCGTCTGGGAGGGTTGTGACCTCCTTCTCCTTCTCCTCCTCGTTCTCCCTCTGCTCGCACTGAGAAATCTTGCAGTATACAGTGCGCTCCGTCGCGGGCACTTTCTGGCCATGCCGCTCGGGAGAAGATGCACTACAAGATTGTGATACGGTAGGTTCGCGTCGTGTCGACCAGCGGCGACCCCGCCGCCGACGTTCAAGGTTGAACGCCGCCGGCGACCCAGAATCGATCGATGTTGAACGATTGGACGTTGCGGCAGCGGCCGATCGTTCAAGGTTGAACGATCCCTGCGGTGTCAAAAACCAACGCTGGGGTCGACACGACACGAACCTGCCGTACTATATGTTCAGGGCTGACGCACGCCTCCAATGAGAACACATACGATAGGTTCATGCGTCTATGGCGCGCCGGCGACGCCAGCGAAGGCATTCAAGGTTGAATTCTGCGACGCGGAAGCACCGATAGATGGACATGGTGACACACCATTGTACCCGACGGAATTCGACCTTGAAAGATCGGGGCCGCGATCAGCATTCAAGGTTGAACGATGGAAGCGGTGCCAAGAACCTCTGCGCACGCCGACGCCGCACGAACCTACTGTAGTACTGTCAGGAGGGGAAAAACACACAAACACAATTGATCGCCGACTCCCAGGAAGACATGGGAAACTATGGGAAGCGAGGGGGAAGGCGAACACCCAGAAAATTCAGGAAAGCATAAAGAATCCTGGGATCAGTGTCTACTGGTTTGTGTGTCCCTGGGCCCCTTGAAATTAGTAGATCCTAGCGCGTCCCATTGATCGCGAAATCTGGAGCGCGGAGCGCGCCAGGGGCGGCCGGCGACGGGACGCGCAGCCCGGGAGGGGGGGTCCAGCGCCGAGCTCCTAGTGGCCAGCGCGGGCCTCCGAGAGCGTGCTCTTGTGGTGAGCATTGGGCTCGAGCATGCCGCTGCGATGCTGCTGCTGCTGATGCTGGTGATGATGGTCACGATGGTGATGGTGATGATGGTGATGGTGAGGGTGATGATGATGCTGATGACGATGGTGATGATGAAACTGATCATGAAGATGATGGTGATGGTGTTGATGATGATGATGATGATGATCATGATCATGGTGATGCTGCTGCTGCTGATGATGCTGATGGTGATGATGATGGTGATGGTGATGGTGACGATGATGGTCATGGTCATGGTCATGGTCATGGTGATGGTGATGGTGATGGTGATGGTGATGGTGCTGATGGTGATGGTGATGGTGATGGTGATGGTGGTGATGATGCTGCTGATGATGGTGATGATGATGATGCTGGTGATGGTGCTGATGATGATGCTGATGATGAAAATGATGATGATGATGATGATGATGATGATGCTGGTGATGGTGATGGTGATGGTGATGGTGATGATGCTGATGATTATGGTGATGATGATGCTGATGGTGATGATGAAGAAAATCATGATGATAATGAAGATGATAGTGATGATGATGATGGTGATGCTTCTGGTGCTGATGACGATGCTGATGATGATGCAGATGTTGATGATGATGGTGATGATGATGCTGATGATGATGGTGATGGTGATGGTGATGATGCTGCTGATGCTGGTGATGACGATGATGATGATGCTGATGATGAAACTGATGATGCTGACGTTGATACTGATGATGAAAATGATGATGAAGGTGATGGTGATGGTGATGATGATGATGCTGCAAATGATGGTGATGCTGCTGCTGATGATAATGGTTATGATGAAACTGATGGGGATAATAATGATGATGATGGTGGTGATTATGATAATAGTGATGCTGCCGCTGATGATGATGGCGATGGTGATGCTGATGATGATGATGGTGATGATGATGCTGATGATGATGATGATGATGATGATGGTGATGGTGATGATGATGGTGATGATGCTGGTGCTGCTGATGATGGTGATGCTTCTGATGCTGATGATGGTGATGGTGATGATGATGGTGATGGTGATGATGATGGTGATGATGAAGGTGCTGCTGATAATGATTCTGATGATGATGGTGATGGTGATGGTGATGAGAATGATGATGATGATGATGATGAAGATGCTGGTGATGATGATGACGATGGTGATGCTGCTGATGATGGTGATGGTGATGGTGATGCTGATGGTGATGCTGATGCTGATGGTGGTGATGGTGATGCTGATGATGATGATGATGGTGATGGTGATGGTGATGGTGAAGGTGGTGATGGTGATGATGCTGCTGATGCTGCTGATGATGGTGATGATGATGCTGCTGATGATGGTGACGATGATGCCGATGATGATGCTGATTCTGAAAATTGTGGTGATGGTGATGATGATGATGGTGATGGTGATGGTGATGATGGAGATGGTGCTGATGATTGTGATGATGCTGATGATGATTGTGATGAAGATGATGGTAAGGATGATGATGGTGATGCTGCTGCTGATGACGATGGTGATGCTGATGCTGATGCTGATGATGATGCTGCTGCTGATGCTGATGGTGATGATGATGGTGATGGTGATGGTGATGGTGGTGATGGTCATGATGGTGCCGATGCTGCTGATGATGGTGATGATGATGGTGATGATGATGATGATGATGCGAATCATGATGCTGATGATGAAAATGATGATGAGGCGATGATGGTGACGGTGATGGTGATGGTGGTGATGATGATGCTTATGCTGCTGATGATGGTGATGATGAGTTTGATGATCATGGAGATGGTGAACATGATGATGATAAAGATAATGGTGATGCTGATGATGGTGATGGTGGTGATGCTGATGGTGATGTTTCTGGTGCTGATGATGATTGTGATGATGATGATGATGGTGACGGTGATGATGATGATGATGATGTTGATGGTGATGATGGTGGTGATGATAATGATGGTGACGGTGATGGTGATGGTGATGGTGGTGATGGTGATGATGCTGCTGATGCTGCTGATGATGGTGATGATGCTGCTGACGATGGTGATGCTGATGATGATGATGATGATGGTGATGGTGAAACTGATGATGATGGTGATGGTGATGGTGAAGATGAAGGTGCTGCTGCTGATGATGCTGACGAGGATGCTGATGATGATGATGATGCTGATGGTGATGATGAAGCTGCTAATGAGGGTGATGATGATGCTGCTGCTGATGATGGTGATGGTGATGCTGATGCTGATGGTGATGGTGATGATGATGATGATGATGATGGTGATGGTGGTGATAGTGATGATGCAGCTGATGCTGCTTATGATGGTGATGATGATGCTGCTGATGATGCGGATGATGCTGATGATGATGCTGATGATGAAGATGATGGTGCTGATGATGATGAGGATGAGGATGAGTATTGTGATGGTGATGGTGATGGTGATGACGATGGTGATGATGCTTCTGCTGCTGATGATGATGATGGTGATGATGCTGCTGATGCTGCTGATGATGATGACGATGATGGTGATGATGATGATGGTGATGATGATGGTGATGGTGATGATGATGATGATGATGCTGTTGATGCCGATGCTGATGCTGCGGCTGATGATGATGATGATGATGATGATGATGATGATGATGATGATGATGATGATGATGATGATGATGATCGGTACAGGCCCTGCAGGGCGACGGGTCGTTTGCCGTGTCCATCCGGGCACAGCCGCAGCTCACCATCGACGGCAACGAGACGGACCTGAACTTCCGCGTCGCCTCGGGCGACGGCCGCGCGCTGGCCACGGTTTTGTGCAAGGAAGAGGTCCCGGGGGGCCCCGAGCACCTGTCCATCCAGGCGGGGCGGTCCAGAACGGCCCCCGCCCTCGACGCTCCTCGTCCCCAGACATCCGGCGGCTCCAATTTTTCCCAACCATCCTGTGGTGTTGGGTCTTCGCTGTGAAGAGGCAGCGCCTCGCGTCCACTCCCTCCTTCCTCCTCCCCCCTCCTCTCCCCCTCCCTCTTGCAACATCGCCAGTGCCTTCCGCATGTCTCTGTTTCGGCACATCCCTGACACGTTTCGTCGCCCCATCGGAAGCTCAACCGAAGGCCCCAGCGGCAGCGCCCGCGTGGCACCACAGCGCCTAATTCGGCACACCTTCACGCGTTTCGTAAGGCCACAGTGGCAGCGCCCGCATTGCACCACCATCGCATCCGTTTCGGTATACCCCTCACACGTTTCGTGGCCCCACAGGGATCTCCGCCAAAGTCCCCAGTGGCAGCGCCCGCATGGCACCACCGCACCTGTTTCGGCACACGCCTCGCACTCTTCGTGGCCCCATGAGGAGCTCCACCGAAGGCCCCAGTGGCAGCGCCCGCATGGCGCCACCACACCCGTGTCGGCACACCCCTCGCACGCTTCGTGGCTCCCAAAAGTGCTCCATCGAAACCGGTCGGTACCCACAACGCGGTCTTCACGGCTGCATATGGTTTGGTCTTTCGCCTGGCTATTTTTAATGCGCGGGCCCCGGAGGTCCTGGGGCCGGTTTTTCTCAGGGAGCCAGAGACGGGGTAACAGCAGACGGGGTAACAGGAAACGGCCGGTTCGAGGCATCAAATGGCCCTTTTGTTGCAGTGCAGTTTTATTTGGTTTTCGCGTTCGATGCAGCACCTTCCACATGCTGGCTGCGTTGCACATTTTCGGCTGCTGCGCTGCAATTTTTTGTTTTGGGCCCTCTGTTACCGGGTCTGTGGGGCTTGTTTGCAGTTTTTCCGCAACTAGTTGCCAACAAATTGCGGTGCAGTTGTTCTTGCGTTGCAGAAAAATGCAGTGCATTTGTGGCCGTGGCGCCCGAGACACCCTCCAGATCCGCGGGATCTCAGAGATTCTCGATTCATATTTGCCGGGCCTTGCCAGGTTGTATTCCATCTTGGCTGCGTTTTACCCCGGAGTGCGAGCACGGCAAAAGGCGCCCGCTCCAATTTTTGCTACAGCGTCGGATCTCTGGGTCGCCCTCGGCGGACGCCGGCGGCCGCGGTACGGGAACGGCCCCAGACCCCCGACGCCGTGCTTTTTGCACAGCATCGAGTCTGGACCCCTTCCCCGGGACAATTTTTTAATCCAGGACTCCCACCCCCTCCGCCACACCCCTCGACTACACGTAAGAGTGACCCTTCGCCGGAGTGACCTTTGGTGCGGGCCGATTGGGGTCCCCGATCGCCGAACGCGAGGCGGCAGTGGCGTCTTGCGCGCTTGTGTTTGGCCCCCCCGCGGCCCCCAAAAAGCCGCGCACCAAAGGTCACTCTTACCCAGGGTCACTCTTACGCGTAGCCGAACCCCGCGCGGGAGACCAAAAGAAGGGCGGCCATCCTGAGGGCGCGAAAGTGTGCGTGCAAATCTTCTAAGGAGCGCGAGCAACCGTTGAAGCGGATGCTGCGCCCACGAAACGCATGAGGGATGTGCCGCGAAGGACGCACACGCACGCACGCACGCAAGCGCGCACGCACGCACGCACGCACACATACACAAACACACACACACACACACTCACATGTGTATATATATATATATACACACATGTATATATCACACATGTCACATATACCACAGATATCACATACATGTATAAGTATATGTACACAAGGCTGCAGTGGCGCTTCGCGCCATGCACCTTGGTCCTTGAAGTTTGGTATGCAGGCGGAATCGCAGGAAGGTGAAGTCAACAATTTAGCGATAACTCTTTGTTGCCTTTTCCGGCATCGCCGCTGTAATAATGTTATTCGTTATCCTTATTCCATGCTTCTTTGTCTTTATTTTCGCCATCCTCCTCAGCTCTTTTCTGCGGAGGCTCCTCGTTGGAGAGCCTCTGGGGGCCTCACAAAAGTTGTTTCAGGCTTCCTTAAGGCCTTCTGGAGGCCTCCTGGGCGTATTCTGGGGGCCTCTGGGGGCCTCTGGGGGCTTCCTCGGGCCACCCTGCCTCCAACTGCGGTCTCCCTGAACGACGGGGTCACGATTTGGAATGCTTCGGAAGGTGTCTTTGGGCCATCTTGGGCCGCCATGGGGCTCTGTCAGGGCCATCTGAGACCCGTGTTGTGTCGTTTTGGGGCTCGCTTGGACTGCCTGGAAGCCCTGTCGGATGGTTGTGGGGCGATTTGGAGGCCTCCCAGGCGGCTTCGGACACCCAGAAGACCGCCGTCTTGGAGCGTCGGGAAGCCGAAAAGAGCAGAACCCCAAAATTCACCAAAAACCAGCAGAAAATCAATTATTAGTGCCTCTGAGGGCCTTCTTGGGAGTGCTCTTGGAGGCCTCTTTGGGCCGTCCTGGAGGCCTCTTGGGCCATCTTGAGGTCACGTCGGTCACTCTTGGAGCGCTCTTGTGCTGTCTTGGGGGTCCCTGGGACGTCTCCGATGACCCCCCTGATCGCCCTAGGTGTGCTGGGAAGGCTTGGCAAAACGCCCTGCGAGGCCCGGGAACCGCTTCGAGGCCCGTCTGGAGGGTCCCAAAGCCCCAGATCCCGGGAGTCCGGTTTGGGGGGGGGGGGGGGACGGGTTTTCCCCCCGCCCGGGCTTATAAAAATATAGGAAGAGGAATGTGTGCCCAAGTGAGTCGGTCTACATATCTGTCTGCATACACGTATACACATGCATACACATATACACAGAAACATCACTAACATGTATAGGGCGTCTAGTGTATACGCATAATTAGACATATACATGCGTACTTCTGTGTTGTAAATAAATGCGTGCTACAACTGTACGCAGCCACGTGCACGCAACTACGCTACAAGCATGGACCTCTGATCCAATATCGAAGCATTGATCCACACCATGATGTCTGATCCAAGCCATAAGATATGATCCACATGGGTTGTGATGCAGGAGGCCAGCGGAGGCCGTGATAACAGCGGGGGCTCCGCCGGCAAGAGGGCGGCGGGCCTCTGTCGGGGCTGAAGGGACGGGGGTCCATGCCAACGGGGGCCAGTCCGAGCGCCAGATCTTGCAGGATCTTGCAGGGCCAGGGGTGCATTGACCCAAGTTTGAGTGCATGATCCTTCAGGATCCTGCAGGATCTTGCAGGGTCCCGCAAAGCCTGACTGACCCTGGTTTGGATTGACCCGGGTCAGTAGTTCCCCGACTGTGGGGGCCCTCGCCAGGCCTCGGGACCGTCAAAGGGCGGCTCGGGATGAGAAACTGGTCCTGGGGAATGTGTCGAGACCTCCAGGGGTAGACCTTATTCGACTACACGCTAGAGTGAGCCCTCGCCAGAGTGACCTCTGGTGCGGCCCAGTGGGCCCCCCCGATCACCGAGTGCGATGCGATGGCAGCGGCCTGCGCGCTTGGGTTTGGCCCTCTCGCGCCCAGAAAAAAGCCACGCACCAAAGGTCACTCCTGCCCATGGTCACTTGTACGTGCAGCCCATACACGCTATGAGCAACTCATGACGTCGGGGGTCTGAGGGCCCAGCCATGCGAGGTCCTGCTGCTTTTCGATGCGCGGTCCCCGGAAGTCTCGACCCTTTCCCCAGGATCGGTTTTCATCCCGAGTCGTAGTTTGACCGCCCCGGGGCCCGGCCAGGGCCTCCAGTGGCCGTAAACGGGGGAAAACCTCTCGTCGTGTTTTTTTAAGACGCGATCATGTCCGCGTTTAGGTCGGGCATGTCCTCCTACAGGCGGATTTTCAAAGAAAATTGAAACACAGTCAAAAAATACATTCCCACGTTATCTTGCGACTATGTTTCCTCCTGTAGAGGGACATGCCCGACGTAAGTCTGGATGTCTCGGTCTGTGGGGGCAGACGTAATCCCGCAAGGAGCCGGTTCGGCGATGCTAGAGAAATTCCGGCGGGTGCCACCGCCGCTCGGGCCCAGGCCGAGCGGCGGCTGCTCCCGTGGGGAGGTCTGCGCCGGCTCCCAGCCGAGTTTCGCTCGGACCGACGTTCTCTCCACGTCCTCCTCCTCCTCCTCCTCCTCCTCCTCCTCCTCCTCCTCCTGATTCCTGGTCCTAGTGGCTGAAGAGATCGTCGATTGCAGCCTTCCATCCTCCTCCTCCCCTTCCTCCTCCTCCTCCTCCTCCTCCTCCTCCTCCTCCTCCTCCTGTTTGCCCTCACATCCGGCTGCTCCATCTTTGTTCGATGCGTGGGCCCTGGAGGTCCCGACCACTTCCACACGGCCGGCTCTTCGTCCTGAGTCGTTTTGGATGGTCCCGAGGCCCATCGGGGGGCCCCGAAGGCCGAAAACGGCAAAAAGCGCCCGCTCCCTGGCGGCGTCGGGTCTCTGGGTCTGCACTGCGCCGTGGCCTTGTTCGCGCCCGCCCTCTGGCGGCGCGAGAGCAGCCCTGAGCGACCATCGCATGTGTGTGTGTGTGTGTGGGTGTGTGTGTGTGTGGGTGTGGGTGTAGGTGTGTGTGTGTGTTTCCCGCTCGTTCTTCGCGCTGTGAGTGCCCCCTTTCCTCCCCAGACCCCCTCGGGTCATGAACAAAAATCACGACGGGAGGTTTTTGGCCATTTTCGGCATCTGGGGGCCCTTACCAGCCCTCGGGGCCATCAAAAAACGACTCTGGATGAAGGACTGGTCCCGGCGAATAGGTCCGGACCTCTGGGGGTCGCGCCACGAAAAAGTCATGACGTCGGGGGTCTGGGCACCCAGGTCCCCACTCTCGCCGCCGGACCAAACTCGCGCCTGCCATTGCCTGGCTCACCAGAGCGCGTGTGCGGATTGCCTCTGCCGCGCTGCGGCGTCAGAGCGTGTTCCCCTCGGAGCGGGTCAGGGGCTGCCGCCCGCAGGCCGGAGGGGAGGGGCCAAGAGTGCCGCCTGTGCGGCTGGCCCGGGGCATGAGGTCGAGGTCGGCTCGGGGAGGG